AGTTTGATTGGTCCTAAAAGCACTGTCTTGATTGATTGGAATGGAGCCACCCTGATTGGTCAGTAAAGATGCTACGGGAGCTATAGTTGCACAGCTCCAATTGACAGGGAAAACCTCAGCCCTATTGGTTGAAATACAATCCCAGAAACTCCTGTATAAGAGCTGGCTCAGGCAGCAGGCAGGCAGTTCAACGCAGGCTTCTCCCTGAAGTGTAGTCTGTATAAGAGGCCAGGGTTTCACAATGGCTACTAGGCTCTATTTATACATTTGAGCCCTGTTAGCCACCAGGAGCCCTTCTTGGTGGATATCTTCTTTCTCTAGGACAACGCTGGACACCCACCCCATGCTCCTGCGCTCCATGAGGGGAAATGGTTTTACTCCTGGTGCAGAGGGAGCGCATGCTCATGAAGGTCTCCCTCTGCAGCGGTTCCTTTTTATTGAAGTCATTTTTCTCCTCCTGTCAGCAGACCCAGATGCAGGCAGCCCCTCCCTCCCACTCTCAGAAGAGCTGAGAAGAAAACAAAAGCTTAATTGAATCCCACACTGCAAGAAGGGGGTGCAAGCGGCTGGACAGAGGGCCAGGTGCAGGAGAAAGGCCCCCAGCACAGGGAGGCCAAGGAAGCTCCAGGCCTCAGTGGGTCTGATGGTTGTCTATGATTATCATCCCAATGTGATTCTATTCTCATTGCTATGTTGTGCCTGCTTCCACAGAACGTGCCTATACATAAGCTCTTTCCACACATGAGCCTGAGCTTCGTCACCAGGGCTGAAGCATTGCTCATGGGGAGCCTGAGACCCACACAAGCTTGTGACTCACCCACGGCCACACTCCTTTGTGGAGTGGAAAGTCCTGGGCTGGAATTCCACCATGGAATGCTCACCAGGCAAGTCAGGATTCAGATTTGCAGTCCCCTAGATGTCCTGGGGAGGCGACCGCACAAGCAAAGGCTCCAGAAAGGGCGTATGGAGGGCATGTACAAGGCTTCTGTGCAGGGCATGTACAAGGAAGGTGTGGCGCCATGATGAGCCATGGACAGTTTCCAAGCAGGGCAGCAGGAGAAGGCAGTGGACAGACTGGGGCGAGCAGTGCAGCCGAGGCTGAGGTGGAGCAGATGGAAGCGCCAGTCGGCTGGATTCCCAAGACCCTTCACTTTACCTCTAGAATGAACCTGCTACCCCAGTACTTTGTCCCAGTTTCAATTTCTGCTCCTTCTGCAAAGCCCCCTTTAATTAATGCTCGCTCCCTCACTCCAGGGCCACGTGCTCCAGCTCTCTAGGCTGTACAAATCCCTGGCTTCAGGATGCTGCCTTCCTTCCTGTCAGACGGAGGCATACCTAGCTCAGTGCTTTTCCTCCATCCTCATATGAAAGACTCATTGTATAAGTGTTCCTTGGCAGCAAATGATAAAAAGAAAGTCAAACTGGCTTAAGCTAAGGAAGGACTTGAAGGGGTGTCAATGGGGGCAAAATGAGAAACATCTGTAACAAAACCAAATTAATAAATTTTTTTAAAAAGAAAGGACTTTTTTGCCCTTCTGAACTGAAATGGTGTAGTTACGGACTTCAGGTACAGCTGGATCCAGGTGCCCACAAGATCTCCAGGCATTAACTCCTCATCTCTTGGCTCTGTTGTCCACTGTGCTGGCTCCACTCTGAGAAAAGGGCACTATTTTGTGGTTTGCACCAAATGAGGTGTCTACTGCTAGTGGTGGCCCTGGATGCCCACAGCCCTTTTGAAAGTAGGAAGACTCGGGATGGTGGCTGGGCTGGAAGGAGAGTGCCAATGCTTCCTTTAAGCACTGGGATGCTGCAGGTGCAAATAACATCATGTAAGGCAGTAAAAAGGATCTCACCTCGTCGGGGTGGGGGCTGCCCTGACGAAGAGGCAGTGGGTCAAGACCCAAAGGCCGAGTGAGAGGACATAGACTAGGGTGCTCCCAGTGAAGAACCAGCATGGAGAGAGGAGAGAGGGGGCCTTCTGGAGCCACTGGTCCCATTATGTCCTTTTGGGCATTCTGAGGCCCAGGGCAGCCACAGCACACACACACAAGCACACATACATGGTGACACATATGTGCAGTTACACAGCAATATATGCACACACTCACATGGTTACATATATGTACAAGGGTGCACAGAGAAAAACACATGTACAGCCCACAAAGAAATGCAAGCACACACACACACACACACATATGCTGACACACACAGCTACACTTGTGTGCATACAAGCACTCACTTGGTTATGCCCACACTATGACACCTGTGCACAAACATGACTGCACTCTCACATGCACGTCGCTACACTAGCAGGCACATGCATGTACATAAAGCACACATGCAGTTACACATGTGCAGAAGCACACTGTTGTGTGTGTGCACATACATATCCACACATATACACACACATAGACACGCAATCCCACATGCACACACAGGCTGCCCAGTGATGAGTGGCTGGTGGGAAAGAGGAGAGAAGGCGCCCGGTTGCCCTGGCAACACATCCTAGGTCCCGACCAGGCCTCGTTAGCGCGGCTCATCTGGCAATTGTCAGCAAGTAGAGGGCTGTTCAGGACCCCAACCCTGCACAAAGGTTCCTGGTGCTTCATGATGGCCTGGCAGTCTGTACCCCAGTGGGGATAAGGAGAGAGGAAGGAGCAGGCCTGGGTCAGAGCAGGAAACAGCCCTGCACTGGAGGCCCTGTGGGGACAGACACAGCCTGCCCTGGGGGATGTGAGGGGGACAAAGGGGTGGAGACTGGCTCTGGCTGACACACTTGCTTTCTGATTCCTGCTGATCACAGGGGCTGGGGCAGACCAGATGAGAATGAGGGTCAGGTCAGTGGGGGTGCTCCTGTGTTGACAGCTGATGGGACATAATGGGGTCCCCATTAGTGATGGCACCACATGTCTAGCCTTTGTCCCCCGGAGGGCCAGAGCCCAGAAGGGGCAGATCCTACCAATTCTCTCCTTGGTGGCTGCAGGGAGGGCACGGGGTCAAGTCCTGGCTCCTGTTACCTAGGCCGCCTTGGGCAGGTTACCGAACCTGTGAGATGAGAATGTGGACAGCCTTCCCCAGGGCTGCTGTGAAGGCCATTCGTGTAGATGGAGGGTAAGAGCAGTGCCCACAGGCACCTGCTGAGTGAATGCCAGCTGCTGTTATAACAGGGCCTGGGGGGCCCCAAGGCATCACTCTGTGCAATCCTGTTTCCTTGCCTTCACCCCAAGAAGACGGTCTGAAAGGGTTGAGGACTTCGATCTTGAAGGCTCCTGTCATGCTACTTGGAATTCAAGACAAAATTTCTCTAGTTATTAAAGAAGGCAGATCTCCACCCCCGCATTCCCGAAACACCTTTATTGCACTAAAAACAGCATTTATAAACAAACACACGCAGGGAGGATGTCTTAAAGGTTCACCCACTGTCAATTTCGAACACAAAGATATGAAACAGTGCAGGGACACATAAAAATGGGAGGCCCCAGAGGAAGTAGGGGAAGGGCGAGAGAAGGGGAGGGATGTGAGCTCCCAGCATCTAACTCTGTGCAGGGCCCTCTGTCGCCCACAAGCCTGGCCTGGGTGGTCCCCAGGTTTCAGAGTGAAGGGAGGAGCCCCTGTGAAGGCAAGAGCAGGAGCATGAAGGAGCAGGCACAGGACAGAGACCAGAGGGGGCAATGAAAGAGACCTCAGCTCCAAGGGCCCCTCCATCTCAGTCTGCAGGGTGCACTGGGGGTAATATGCTTCTTCACCTCTCTCCCAGTGGGACTTGGAAACTTAGTCAGGAGGGACAATGTCTGGACAGGGAGGAGCACCCCAGAATCCCAAGGGGCTGCCCTGGCCCATCCATACCCAGAAGTGAAGGGGCAGAGCAGGCCTGGCCTCACTGGCTCCTGCTTCAAACGGTACCATTTGTTTCATTGAGCTGGAAAACCTCCACAAAAATCATTCAAGGACCCACATGCTGACACAACAAGCAAACCCATGCAGCCACTTAGCAGCACGAAAAGCCACAACTAGGGTCCCACCAGCCCTCCCCTTTGTCCCCTTGTCCCATCCACCCTAATCAAAACCTATTTACACATGTGGAGTAAAAGCCCCATCAGTCAATGGGCATCACTTCCTGGTGGCCAGCTGCCAAGGGTGCTGGGCAGGAGGTGAGAGGGTGGCAGCCTGGGGGGGATGGGAGAATGGGGCCATGGGTGAGGGGGCTGCTCCCTGGGTGCCTTCTGAGCATCCCTCTCCAGGGGAAGGAGGCTCCAGATGCCCCAGCAGGACAGAGGGGTCCTAAACAGGTGCAGTGGACCAGCCAGGCAGGTCTGTGCCCGAAAAGCAAGCAGAGAGGTGTTGGAGGGAAACAGCCCACGGGACCACTGTCTGGCTCCAGGGACAGAAGAGGAGCCATTGCTCCCATTTTCCTCTTCTGGGACTTCCTGTACAGTGAGCTCCACAGCGCAGCTGTCTCCCAGAGCCCCATGGGGCACTGTCAGCAGAACCACGGGCCTGGCACTGCTTTGCATCTGGTGGGCCTGGGGAAGAACACTCATGCAACACAAGAAAAGATTCAACTCAGTTTCAGGAATGGAGACCTCTAGGTCTGTGATCCACCTTCGGCCACCTCCTGGCACAGGTTACCAGCTGCCTGAGAACCCCTTTCCAGAATTCTAAAAGGGGTGAGACCACCTCAAGGGGCATGGAACTTGGGGCACAGGAGCAATGTTCAGCTCTGCAAATGGCCCTCTCTTCCCTGACAGCCCCTATCTTCCTCCTTCAAAAAACTTAATCCATGAAAAATAGTATCCTGGTCACCATCCAGCAACCCAGAAAAGCCCTGGCTACAGCTGCAGCATCAGGGACCAGCCCAGCCTTAGTTTACACCCATCTCCCCCTCCCAGGCCCTGGTGCGACCAAATGGTCTCCTGCCTGTCAGAATCTGAGTGGGGAGGGGAGGTGGAGTCTCCCCTCGGCACCTGCGGGAGGAATGGAGGGTGGGCAGCAAGGGGCCTTTACAAGAAGGGGAGCAGGGAGGTCAGGGGCAACTCCTTCTCCCCCAGCAGCGTGTCCCGCTTGAGGCTGCTACCCTTGTTGACCACCTTGATCCTGAGGGCCAGTTTTCGGACGCTGGCCGGCCCGAGGCCATCAAAAAAGAAGTCCTCATTGAAGACAGGGTGGCGGCTGTTCTTAATGATGGTGCTGCGCTGTTTCTGGAGCTTTCCAGGAACCAGGCACAGGCCCACGCAGCAGTTGATGCTTCGGGCGTCGCAGAGGTGGTCGTACAAGCCCTCTGCGGCCAGCAGGCGCACACGCAGGCGCGCCTGAGCCGCCTCGTACTCGGCCAGCAGCCGCACGCTGCCCCGCGTGCCCATGCGCACGGCGTGCTCCGCGCGGGGCACCTGGCCCGGCTCAGGGCACGGCTCCGGGGTGGCCCTGCGAGTCAGGCGGCGCCGGGCCCCAGGGCTGGTGTCCGGTGTGCTGTCGTCAGCCGACAAGGAGCCATGGCGGCCCACGGAATGCTTGAGCTGGCTCACCTTGGCCTGGCTGTCCTGGGCGAAGCCTTTGAGCAGCGACACGGAGCGCGAGAGCAGAGGGGACCCAAATGGGGAGGACTCGGCCGAGGACCCCGTGTCACTCTCCCCACCACTGAAGTAGCGGCTGGGGCTCATGAGGGCCCCGCCAGCCTCCCTGGACACGCCATCGCCCCCATTGGCCTTGACACCTCCCCGGCGGCGCCGGGCTCCCGGGGACCCCACCTGGGCCAGGGCCCCATGCTCGCTGTGGAATAGGGACTCCTTGCGCCGTGTATGGGGGCTCTCTGCCAGCGTGGCGAAGCCGTAGGACGTCTGGGCCTTGGGCACTGAGGGCAGGGACATGGCACCCTGGGCCTGGGGGTCCGAGTTGGTGGCAGCCTCCTCAGCGGGCCAGTCCTCAGCGCTCTCAATCTGGATCACATGCCGGGTGGCCGCCTTCAGCAAGCTCTTGCTCTCGGCTGCCAACTTGGCAGGCAGCCGGGGGCTCCGGGGGGCTCGGCGGGGCGAAGCAGAGGCCAGGTTCTGCTCTGCAGCCGGGCCCAGCTCAGCCTGCCCTTCAGGCTCCGCGGGGCTGGCTGGCAGTTTAGGGGGGATGAAGAAGTCGGGGATCTTGTCGGGTGTGAGCACGTTGCTGTACAGAGGCCCCTTGGAGGCCTTGTCCCCTGCCTCGCCCCCAGTAGCACCGTTGTCCCCGGACCCCCGAAGCCGCTCCAGGAACCACATGTTGGTTTTCTTCATGGGGGCAGCAGGCAGAAGGCCAGGAGGGGTCTGCGGAGTCTGGAGGAAAAACCAGAGGCCAGGAGATGCAGGCCTACATGCACTTGGGGGGGGGGGTGCTGAAAGAGGGGTTCTGGCACCTGTCTGGGGGAGCCTCTGGGACGGGGCCCGGTCCCGCAGGGTCCGGGGCGGGGGTGGAGTAGGCTTGCCCCTCCCTTCCCTCCCCAGAGGGATCGTGCTTAACTTCCAAGCACCCAAGCAAAGCGAGGAAGGTGGGGGTGGTGCTCTGACTCTAGGGAAGCTCCCAGGGGAGAGCGGCCCCTCTCCTGCCCCCAACCCCGTTTCGAGGATCTCAAAGCGCTTTTTAAAGGGTTTCACGCTCAGTCTACAGGGACGACACCTCAGGGTGTGGGTGGACCCCCAGGTATCCCAGCTCCGCCCCCCCCTTAGGCTCCCACCCACCTGTGGCTTCTTGGGCTGAGGGTCCTAGCAAGCGGAGTGGGGGAAGGGAGAGGAGAGGAGTCTGGGGACCCACAGCGCAGCTGGCTGAAGCCTCCACTCGGTCTCCCCCACCCCCTGTTAACTCAGCTTGGGGTGGGGGTGGGGTCCTAGCAGCCCCCACGGAACGTGGCAGGGTCCCTAAACTCACCTGCCCGGGGTGGTGGCAGAGGCTAAGACTATTCCGTGGACTCGCGGGGGTCTCGGCACGAAGACTCCGAGGCTGGGGTGGGGGACGCGGCCTCAGCTTCCACAAGGGCGGCGGCAGCAGCGCAGTCGGACTCATTCACCCGCCGCGGCGGGAAACCGCCCTACCGGGCCGCGGCGCCGCCGTATTCTCCCTAGTACAGACGCCGCTCCCGCTCCCGCCCCCACCCGCACCCCCCCACTTGTGTGCCCCCGCCTCGCGGCACACCAGCGCGACACCCCGGGGCCGGTCGTACCCAGGAGCCTCGCAGGGACCCAAAGAGCTGACGAGGGTAGGTGAGAGGGAAAGCAGGTGATCGAGGTTTGCTGACCACCCCTAGCACTGGTGCCTGTGGATGGGGGAGCAGGGGGAACGGAAACCCCAAGCTACTGCCTCAGTTCATTTGGGGAGGGGCGCAGACCCATACGTGCTGCAGGCCCTTTCTCTGGTGAGCTGCTTTCCCGACTTATGATGATGAATAAAATAATAGCAGTAATAATAACTGCATCTGGATTTATTATTGAGCACTTTCTCAGTGCCAGGCTCTAACATCCTTCCCCCAACTCTTCCTGCCCTCCTGCCCCCCATTTGTAAACGAGAAAGGTGAAGGTTTCCTTCTGGAAATAAGGACCCAGAATCTAAGCCCCACTCCTCCTGGTGAATGGGCTTCGCTCTGTGCAGCCACCCCAGAAGCCAGGGAGGAGGCTGCGCCTCCATTTCATGGACAGATGTTTATTGAGCACATACTGGATGCTGGACAATGATCCAGACCCTGGGGACACAGCTGTGACCAAAGGATGCAGCGCCCAGTTTGTGATGCAGCCCACCAGAGGGGTGCCAACAGAGAGGTACACAGGTGAGTAAGAACTGTAACAGGAAAATGTGGTTGGAGGAGAGAGGAGAGGGCACCAGTGTGCTATCCACAGATGGAGAAACCAAGGCAATCCCAGGCCTGGCAGCTCCTAAGATCCCAAAGTCCCTCTGGGATCCTCCCTCCACCTTGTGATCTGCCAGCCCTAATCCCCCTGCTTCCTCACTCTTTCTCCTCCCCCTCAGCCTCAGTTTCCCCTTCTGGAACCCATGGCTGACCAGTCCCACATTCAGTCTCAGTTTGTGAAGAGTCAGAAAGATAATGTGGCCAGATGGAGGCCCCACCCCTCCAACAAATCACTGGACTTTGGAGTGAGGTGGGGTTTAGAGTCCCATGGTCCACATAAGCAAAACAAGGCTCCGAGGGGGCCATGACTCCAAGAGGCCTGTCTCAGACTTGCTCACCCAGAAAACACTGAGCTTCCCTTTGTGCTGGGGCAACACTTACCAGCATGGCCACACAGTCTGCCAGGGTGATGCATCACCTCACCACTGCCTGGGCCAGCTCCTGTATCACAGCCTGACAGAGCCTGCTGAACCCCAATTATGGCTATCATGAAGAGTGCCCTAGAACAAGTATTTGGGTGATTCCGTTGCCCCTGCTGGGCCTGGAGCTGTGGTTGGAAGGGTTGTTTTGGTCTTAGCCCTGCAGTGTCTCCAAGATGCTGGGGTTTTTAATGACAATTTGCCAGACAAATGGACAGCTTACAGGAAGGATGACTCCTAGAAACAGCACTCCTTTCTGCAGTGGGGGCCTCAGGGGCCTCAGCCACCTTCCTCCATTGACCAGACAGGGACAGTGGGGCCCAGGAAAGGGAAGTGACCAGTTAGGGTCTATAAGGACAGCAGTGTCAGGCTGAGCTGGGAATTGGGGGCTTCAATCCCCACTCACCCTTGCCTAGCTGGGGGCAGGGTCTCTCCTCCAAGTTGCACTGGGAGAGAATGCAGAGTTTATTCTGTGCCGTTGCCTGTGCTAAGCAACTCGGACACTAATCTAGAGCCACTCAATCAGGGTTCAAATCCTGGTACCAACATTTCCTGCTTTGTGACTTCTGGCAAGTATTCAAACCCCTCTGCCTCCTTCTCCTCAGTGGTCCATGGGCATCACAACATCAGAGTTACTATTTGCAAAGTACTTCGAACAGGGCCTAAGCATGTGTGATGTAAGTGTTGGTCATCATTTCCCAAAAGCCGCTACTGGTGAGGAAAGAGACTCAGCCAGGGGGAGGCCTTGCCAGGCCTTGAAGTGAACCCCAGAACCTAGACCACAGCCTAGCTCAGCCTATTCCCTCACCCCATCACCTAAGGGGGCTGGGAAATTGAGGCCCAGAGGGGAAAAGTACCTGGGGCTGATCCAGAACACCTGCCCTGTGGGCTGCCACAGAACCCACCCTGAAAGGGGCAGGAGCAGGGAGGCCACCAGCTCTGGCTCCAAACAAGAACCTCTTCAAGTCAACAAACCTCTGCCTCTTCTGCAGAGCCCTGTGACTGACAGGTGTGGCAGCGCCCCCAGGACTCCCCCAAACTCTGAGCTGTAGCCTCCCTAGAATCAGAGATGAGGAGGCTGCAGGTTTCAGACCCAAGCTGGGGAAGGGGACCCAGAGGGTATCCACCTGCCCCGCCCACCCTAAGTCGTGCCACTTCACACTGTGTGGCCTCAGTCTTCAGTCTCCCTCAGTCCTCTCTGCCTCCCCCCCCCCCCCCCCCGGAACATGCTGTATGGAAAGGGGAAAGTGGCAGGTCTCAGAGGAGATACAGGAAGGTGATGCTTCCCGGGATTCAGGCCTGAGTCATAGGCTGCCCCCTGTGGCATTCAGCAGACAGGCTTGGAGGACACACAGGGAGGTGGCTCAAAGACAAAGAGCCTGAGATCCCAGCTCCAGGCCTGAGGAGTCAATCTGTGCCAATGCAGCTCTGGGCTCTAAGCTGTCTTCTCCTTTGAGAGAGGGGAGGGAAGACCTGTCTGCAAGCTCCCAAGAGGGACTCAGGCCCAACAGGGCACTGGGGGAGGGGTGATCATCCCTGTTTTCCAGATAAGGAAACTGATTCTATGGAGTGCCCAGTTCAGGGAAGGGAAGCCTCTGGTCTAAGGCTGCGCAGCAGAATCTGAACCAACATCTCTACCACCTCCCACCTCAGGACTCCCTGAGGGTGTGACTGGGGCAGGAAGCATTTGCTGACTAAATAACTACAGGTAGAATGGGCTGGAGACAGTGTGGGAACCCAGAGAGAGCCAGGCTCCAGCTCCTGTCACCATGGGGGCTCCCCAGACCTGGCTTTCCTGGGTCAGGAAGCAGGATGGGGAGGTAATGAGGTTCACACCCCGGCTCTGTACCTCCCAGGGGTGTGGCTTTGGGAAGCTATTTCACTCCTCTGAGCCTCCATTTCTCATCTTTAAAGTGGGGAGAATCTGAGCACCCTGAGTTTGTGCAGTTTAGCACATGCCTAGCAAGAGTGCTAGGTGACTCTTTGAAGTGGGTGGTGCCAGCCTTGGTGGTCCCAGGGCTATGAATGAATGAATGAAGTGCATTAAGACCTCTTTGGCCCACAAATCTCTGGAATCTGACACTTCTTGACACTATTTAGTCCACTCCCAGAATAGTCTATCCTGCCCCCAACAGTATATTTCCCACTTGAGAATCTTATCACCTCTGTGCTTAAAAGGTCTCCTGGTTGTGGTCATTTTGGCTCAGCGGTTAGAGTCCAGGTTCAATTTCAGCCAAGGGCACACACCTCTGCTGCGGTTTGTCCCTGGCCCCAGTTGGGGTCATGCGGTGACAACCAGTTGATGTGACTCTATCACATCGATGTTTCTCTCTCTCTCTTCCTCCCTCTCTCCCTCCCCTTGTATCTGAAGATAAATGTAAAGATATCCTCAAGTGAGGAAAGGAAAAAAAAAAAAGGTCTCTGGCACAGTTTCCTATCTGCTGTGTCCATTCCACTGCCCCGTTTTCACCTCCAGCCACTGGCCATCCTTCTGCCCCTGAATGTCCTGTGCTCCATACATCACAGGGCCTTTGCAAATGATGCTCCCTCTGCCCAGAACTCCATCCTAATCATCCCCCAGATCAAAGCTCCTGTGTCATTCCCACAGAGAAGCCTACAGGATTGCCTGAGATCTCTAAGCTCCAAGACTCTCCCCTTTTCACAGTTGTCATTAGATGCTCTATGGTGACTTGCTGATTAATGTCATTTGACTGTTAATTCCACTAGGACAGGTCTATCTTGGTCACTGTTGCATTCTCTTACCCACCAGAGCTTCTGGCAGATAAGGAAAGCTCAATAAAGGCAATTAAAGAATTTAGGATGCAGGGGGAGGGGGTTTAGATGGATGAACTGATAATGGAATTAATAATAGATGGACGGACTAGTGGATGGATGGATGGACGGACGGACTGATGGCTCCCAGTCTCCATGTCTCTGAAGTAAGAGACATAGCTCCTGTCCCTGCTCCCCAGACGTCCATGTTGTGGCCTTATGGCCTTTCTCTGGACCCCTTCTGGCTCTACCTTTTGATGGTTTCACCCCTAGTTAGGGGCAGAGCCAGAGTGGCTTTTACTCCCACACCCTTACTAGGTCCCCCACGGCCTGCCAACTGCAGGGAAAGCACGACCCCTCCCCAGAGACCCAAACCCGGGGAAGGGATTTGGCCCTGGTGGGATGTGGGGAGGGCTGGGGACATCTTTGGGAGAGGCCTCCATGTTTGGGGAGGAATTAGAGGAGGGTCCTGGGAGAGTGGCGGTGTCTCTGGGAGGGAATGACTCAGAATCCATGTACAGGAAGTTCTAGGATAGAAGTCAGGGTGCTGGAGGAGGAAGCAGGCATCATGGAGAACTGAGGGTTTTGAGGGTGATGGAAGCATCTCAAGAAAACCAGGAGGAAAGAAGTTGAAACCCCTGAGAGATCAGCCATGTTTAGGGGCAAGTTAGGAGCAACTTGAAGACAACAAGGAGATTTTTGTCAGATATACATGGATATCTCAAGAGAGAGCTTTGTAGCATTTGAGAGATGAGCTAGGTGTTTCCAAAGAGCAGTTAGGGTGTATTTAATAGAGGATTTGGGGTACATTTCATTGAAAAGTTGGGGTATACTTTAATCTCTAAAAATAGATGTATCTGAGAGAGGTTGGGGGATTCTAGGAGAGGGGACCTTCCTCTCCCCCCTCACTCTTCCCAACAGGGACAAACCCATGGGCAGCTCCCTTCTCTCCATGTCCAGGCCCTTGCCACCACCACCACCACCACCGCCACCACCTCCTCCAGCCCCCAGGAGGCCAAATCTGGTGCCACCTGGCTTTCCACTGGGGATTCTGACTGCAGTCCCCAACCCAAGAATGCCCTTTAATGTGTGGTGGGCTCACACTCCTCATGGTCATTCCCAGGTTTAATTACAAACAAATTTGAAATGTACAGTTCATGTCAATACCCTTAAGGCTTCCCGCACAGTCAACATCAGCATGAGTCCTGGCCTGAGGACCCAAAGCACCTTAATTCTCCTTCAAAAACTGTGCACCAATTTTTCAGGTGAAAACACTGAGCCCAGCCAGGACAGGACTCCAGCTCCATGCCAGGGACCTGGGAACCTTCCCCTTCCGGGGAGACAAGCTGAATGAAGTCCAGCTGGAAAAAGAGACAGTGTCTCCCTGCCCCCCCCAGGACCTCACCAGGATAGTGAGGGCTGCTTTTTTATACATTTTCCTTAAAGGCGAGAAACGGTTCTGTCTTTGGTATGTACACCCTCACTCCAGGCAGAAGAGAGGAGGCAGGGGCTCAGTGGGAGAGAGGGGTCTTGGGCCCTCATCTCCAGGCATAGTTGAGCCAGCCCAGCCAAGAGTGGGCTGGAGAAGGAAGATATGAGGCCCATGTGGAGGAAGGAGAGACAGCAGAGGTTCGGCCTGACCAGGGTCCAGAGAAAGGCTGTAAGGCCACAACACGGACGTCTGGGGAGCAGGGACAGGCGCCTGGGGTGGGAACCATCACCTGGAAGAGAAAGCAGAGAAATCAAGAGTCGGCTGAGACAGCAACCAAAGACCTGGGTTCAAGTGTCAGGTGCAGTTACACTGCAGTAAAGTGACCCAGCAAAGAGCCTCAGGCCCAGGGCCCGGGTTCAAGTCCCAGCTCCTCCCTGTTCTTACTATGTGACCTAGCATAGTGTCAGTCTCTACTGTTTCTTCTGCAAAATGAGAACACTGTTAACAGTGCCGGTCTCAGAACCTCGTGGGAGTCAGTGGAGACGTGGGGAGGTCAGCACAGTCCTTGGACACAGCAATGGCTGCATTAGCAACTATTAGAATTGCCATCGGCATTATTTCTCAGGCCACAAGCAACTTTAGGGACAGAAGGAAAGCAGGTCGTACCCTGGCACGTGCAAACACACAGCCCCAGAGCACTGCAGATCACTTCAGGTTTCCATAGGCCCACCCCTCAACTCCTGAAACCCTTTCCCAGACTGGGAACCCCATCTCCACCAGAAGCCAGGCCTATTGGGGGGCAGGAAGGAGGCCTGTGCTGGGTTGGGAGGGGAGGAGGCAGGAAAGAAACCTTTGTCACGGAATAGGAGAGCAGCCTAACCTGGCCCAGGAGATCCTCTGTCCCCTTCCCCTGTGGTCCCCCCTCCCTAAACCCAGCCCCCAGTTCCCAGATCCTGGAATCCCCAGGTCCTGTCTCTCCCTCTTCCACAAAAGCTGCTCCTGACACTCCACCCTCTGCACCCCAGCTCAGCCATATTCTCCCCTGCCTGGACCGCCTCCCACTTTACCCCCAGAGCCCTCCTCTCTCACCAGAGACGTCCTGTACTTGCCTATCCCTCTCCCCACTCAAAACCCTCCTATGGCCCTGGCCAGTTTGGCTCAGCGGTAGAGCGTTGGCCTGCGGTCCAGAGACCCGGGTTCGGTTCCCACTAAGGGCACGTACCTCGGTTGCAGTTTGTCCCCGGCCCTGGTTGGGTTGTGCGGGTGGCAGCCACTCGATGTGTCCCTTTCACGTCGATGTTTCTCTCTCTCTCTCTCTCTCTCTCTCCCTCCTTCCCTCCCTCCCTCCCCACTCTATCTGAACAAAAAATGGAAAAATGTCCTCAGGTGAGGATAAAAAATAAAAAAAATCCTCCTATGGCTCCTCAGAACCAAAATCAAAAGGCCAAGGGTGCACCTTCTCTTCTCACCTACTCCACCTGACACTCCAGCCTACAAGACCCAGACCACACTGGTATCTCCTCCAGGGTAGCCAAATGCTGCCTCCTCCTGGAAATTTTTTTATCACCAATTAAACAGAGTCACCATAGCAACTCAGCCATTCCGCTCCTAGGTATAGACCAACCCAAGGGCAATGAAAACACACATCCATACAAAAACCTGTTCACACATGTTCACAGTGGGCAAAAAGTGGAAACACCCATCAACAAATAAATGGATAAACACAACATGATCCATCCACGCACTGGAATATTACCCAATCATGAAAAGGAGGGAAGCACTGACTCTCTCTACAACGTGGATGAACCTTGAAAACATGATGCTCAGTGAGAGAAGCCAGACACAAAAGGCCACACAGTGTGTGATTCCATTAATGTGAAACGTCCAGAACAGGCAAATCCTCAGAGACAGGCAGTGGGTTAGTGTTTGTCAGGGGCTGGGGGAGGAAGTGGGGAGTGACTGTTAAGGGGGACAGGGTTTCTTTTTGGGGTGATGGAATGTTCTGAAATTAAACAGGGGGATGTTGCACAACTCTTTGAAGATACTAAAAACTACTGAGGAGTCCACTGTAATGGGTGAACTGTGTGGCATGTGAATTCTTTCTGTTTTTAAAGTGAGAAGTGTGGTGAAAGGGCAATGGCCGGAAGCCAGTAAGACCCACTACAAACCTGGCTCAGAGCTCCCGCTTGACCACACCACGCAGGTGCAGCTCGCTCTCAGCAGCCACAATGGGCTGCCCATTCTGCAGGTGATAGTCGATCAGGTGGCTGATGCTCTCGAACAGCACGTCCTTTGTCCGAACCTGCGGAGCCAGAGGTCTCAGCATCAGCACCACCAGGAGTTTGTCAGACAGCAAACTCAGGCCAGCCCCAGACCCACTGGACTGAAACCTGCATTTTCACAAGCTTCCCAGTGGCTCCGATGCACACAAGTGTGAGCATCACTGGACTTAAGACTTACAGAGTTGGCCTCAGAATTCACAGCTAGGTAAGGACACAGGCTCCAGAACCACCAGGATTCTGGGGCCACACTCCCTAGAATAGTGGCCCCAAAATGATGTCCACATCCTAACCTCTAGAATCTGTCAATGGGAACAATGAAAAAGCATCTTTTCAGATATGATTAAGTGAAGGGTCTTGAGATGAGCTCATCTTGGATTATCCAGGTGTCCCCAAATCCAGTGACTTGTGTCCTTAAAAGAAGAAAGCAACTTGGACACAGAGATACAAGAAGAACACATGAGACAATGGGGGCAGCAACTGGAGTGATGTGTCAACAGGCCAGGGAACAGCAAGAACTGCTGGTGACCACAAGAAGCTGGGAGAGGGCATGGAACAGGTTCTCCCTCAGAGCCCCAAAATGAACCAGCCCTGCCAACACCTTGATTTCAAACCTCTGGCCTCCAGAGCTGAGAGAGAATAAATCTCTGTCATTTTAAGACACCCAGTTTGTGGTCATTTGGTAAGGCAGCTCTCGGAAATGAATACACCCCTGGAATCTCAGAGACACAGATCCGAAAATCAGAATCACCAAATCCAAAACCACCTGCATCTTAGACTAAGAAAATTTTAGCATCAGTGCAGACTAGACCTGGATACAACACAGAGACCCTCTGGCCCCCCAGCTACCAGACATTTCATGGGTGATGCTGGCTCATTGGGCACATGTCATTTGGACAGCAGGCTTAAATGCACATTTCTGGGCCCAGCCACACAACCAACCTCCTTCCACCTGAGTATGGCCTGTACAAAGAGACAAGGAGTGTACCCAGCCACCCAGGGCAGTTTTGAGGATTCTTCTGAATGGGTAAGAGCAGTTGGTAAACTGTAAGACTTTTAACACCTCCAAACACCTTCTCACCTGAGAAATAACCTGTAAAGCCCAAGGCCCTCAGGCGCTGGAAAATACTTTACAAACCCTAGAACTGCTTATAAACTGGAAAATGTTTTGTAAAGACTAAAATGCTTTAGGAACTGTAGAAGACCAAATCTCATCGACTCAAAACAGCTGTTATGTGCATCACCATTTCATGTACCATGATTTGGGGGAGGGGGACATAAGTAATTAAATAATTATGCTGTTCAAAGAAGCAACAGATTGGTTAAAAAATAATTCAGGCCCTGGCTGGTGTGGTTCAGTCGGTAGAAGAGTCATCCCGCCCACCGAAAGGTCCCGGGTTTGATTCTTGGTCAGGGCACATGCATAGGTTTCAGCCTTCATCCCGGGTTGGGGTGCATGCAGGAGGTGGCCGATCAATATGTCTCTGTCTCTGTCTCTCTCTCTCTCTCTCCCCATCCGTCTCCCTTCCTCTCTCTCAAAAAAAAAAAAAATCAATAAAAATATTTTTAAAGAAATTTATTCTCAAAAATAAACAAGGCCCTGGTGGGTTTTGCTCAGCGGTTAGAGCATCGGCCCACAGACCAATGATTCGCAGGTTCGATTCCGGCCAAGGGCACATACCTTGGTTGCGGTTTGTTCCTGGTCTTGGATGGGGTCATGCGAGAAGCAGCCACTCAGTGTGTCCCTTTCACGTCAATGTTTCTCTCTCTCTCTCTCTCTCTCTCTCTCTCTCTCTCCCTCCCTCCCTCCCTCCCACTCTATCTGAACAAAAATGGAGGAGTGTCCATTAAATCCTTGGATGAGGATTTAAAAAATAATAATAAATAAATAAACAAGAAAAAATTTTAGATGATAATATTCAGACCTCAGAGATGTCAACTGAGAGGAAAGAAAAGTATGCATCAGAGGGTTGAAGCATTCAGTAACTTGCAGACCCTAAGACGCTTGTAAACTAAAACCTGCTTTGGGAACCCTAAAATACACTAGAAACTGAAAATACTGTATTTATCAAAGACATCACTGTTCGTTTGTTTGTTTGTTTGCTTGCTTTGGTGCCGAAACCCGGGATCGAACAAAGACATCACTATTTGTAAAATGCATTAGTGATAATAGAATGTGCAAAAAAGTGCATCTTACAATTGTTGAAATATGATACTTATTAAACCCTGAAAGGCCTTGAAATTGGAAAAGGTTTTCTAACCCCATAATGCCTTATAGACTAGGAAATACTTCGTAAATCCAAAAAAATCTTCTTAAACTAGAAAATAGTTTGTAATTCTAAAGTATCTGTTAAATGGAACAGAATCTGTAAACAAAAAGCGCTTTGTAATCCGGAAAATACTTCATTAAACCTAAAGGGCTCTAAGAAGATGGGCTCTGGGCCCAGAGCAAAGCGGAGGTGCCCACCCCACTCCCGGTACTATGCCAGCCCTCCTGAAGCCAGCCTGGCGCCCCTGCCCCAAGCCTGGCCAGACTCCCAGACCCCATCCACCTGCCCCGTGCGTTCCAAAACCCGCTCAGCCCCTCTTCAGGGCTCCGCCTCTAGCTCTGACCCCGCCCCACCCATAGGCCCACCCCCATCCCCACACCCAGCCCCTCCTTGGTCCCGCCCCTGTTCCCGCCCCACGTCCACCTTACCACGCCCTCAGGGTCCACAAGAAGCAGGTGCTTGGGCTGCCCGGCGTGCATCCCGGTGAGGACGTACTGCCCGGGGTTGGTGACGCTGTCGCGCACGAGGAAGTCCCCGTCGGCTCGCAGCAGTTTCTCCGCCGCCCGACGGCTCATCTGGCCGTGGTACCAAGGCTCCTGCCGCAGCTGCTCCTCTGTGGGGGCGATGGGAGCCCTGCGGGTAGGGGGACTGGGCCACTGGTCCTCCAAAGGAAGGGAGGCTGCCGCACCCGCTGCCACGGAGCACTCGTGCAGCTTCAAGGCATCCTCGAAGGGTCCTGTGGGCGAGGACAGGGTGCGGGAGGCAGGGGGCGGGCAGCTGCCTTCAGCTGGGAAGGAAGGGGTCTGGACAGGAGGAAGGACCCACCCTCGGGACCTGGGTAACATTGATTGAATACCTACTTTGCATAAGACCTCCACTAAGCCCACCACAGTGGGTCGTTGGCTGTGTGCTGTGTGCTGAGTGTGTGCTGTATGCTGTTTGTGCTGAGTGTGCTGTGTGTGCTGTGTGTGCTGTGTGTGCTGTGTGCAGTGTGTGTGCTAATAGGAACCTGGCAAGAAGCAACTCTTTCTCCACAGGCGTCACTGGGCCCTGTGGTCACTAGAAGGGATGGCTTGCCTCACAAGGAGTTCACACGCAGCACCTTCTTTCCCATCAGAGGATTTTTGTGAGGAGCCAGTGGGGCCACACTTAGTCCAGTGCCTGGGTGGCACACAGTAGGTGCTCAATATATCCTAGTGCATGTCATTATTACAATGATACATCCGGTTGTCAGATGGCAGGGAACCAGGCTTTGCAAAAGTTGGAGAGGAAGAAATTTCCAGCTGACTTGGGAGGTTCTCAGGGATCTCCAACTAGTGAGGTGTCCTATTGGAGGGGGACCACCCTGCCTGGCCAGCATGGGGCCAACACCCCCCACAGTGCTGTGGAAGAGGATGGATTTATTGTGAGAAAATTAGCAGGCATTTTGGACACAAGCCTCGTCCATCAGACTGAGCCCTCCTTCAAGCACAGACAGAAGGAAAAATTGAGTTCTGTCAGCTAATCCCTCTGTCAGGACCTAGATTAGGACTCCCTCATCGTTCTAGGGGTCCCCCAGGGAGCAGACAGTGCCTCCCCCATCAGGCTGGGATTCCCATAAGAAGGGTTTTGGGCCTCCTCCCTCAGACCATGGAGTCACATGAGGATGGAGCTCAAATCTCCCCTGAGACTGGGAAAACCCAGTGGTAGGAAGTTAAGCCTTCCCCAACAGACTGAGAAGTCCCACAGAGAAGAGGAGGGGCCTAAGCCCCCCCCCCCCAACATACTAGCTACTCAAGAATGAACTAGGTAGGACTCTCCTGTCAGACTGGGGACCCCATGGAGAGGAAGCTGGGTTACTCCCAAGAGACTAGGGAGTCCTATAAGAAACAGACTTCCCCACTCCACCAACATCAACTTGGAAAGTCCCAAGGGGAGAAGTCCCTAGGGGAGAAGCCTGGACTACAGGTGACCTCCCCCTTCAGAATGGCTTGCCCCCACATACTCATGTCAAACAGGTCCTTCTTAGGGCTGTCCTCCAGTTGCAGAGGCTCCGGGGCGTCCAGACCCTGCGTGTTGACGTACAGGTGGTCCTCGTAGTCTCGGGGCCCCTGGGCATCTGCCTGCACATAGCCATCCCCTGATGGGGCTGGGGAGGATGGGAAGGGTGGTGAGGTCAACTGGGGGAGTCTGCCCTGGTGTGCAGAGGGGGGGCAGGGTTAGACCCAACCTGCAATCCCCACCCACACGTCTCATTCCAAAAAGGGAGCATTATGCCCAGTGGAGCAGCGCCATCAAGAAAAAAAAAATGCCCTACCTTGGGTGGTGAGGCATTAGAGGTCTATACCCAGGAAGGGGACAGCCACCCACCCACCTGCCCCCATCTGCCAGGCAGGAAGGTGGCCCAGGGGGCCAGAGCTTTCCAGTTTCAAAAGAATTCAAATCTTGATGAAAAAAAAAAATAGAAAATGATGCTATCAAATCTCATAAGAGCTTGTGGAGTAAATACACTCTTGCAGGTGAAAAGTGAAATGATGCAGAGAGGAGAATCTGTGAAGGGGGACGCAGGCACCCAGTGGGGGAGGAGCTGGGGCACCCTTATGGCCCCCAGAGCATCCTACCCTACCTGAGGGGCCCAGCTCCCAATGCAGGCTGCAGGTGTCTCTTCGAGGAGGAGATGCTCCCTGAAAAAGAAAGTGGTGGTTCCCTTTTCACAGCCCTGATTAAATCACTGATGTAATTATCTACTCAATGTCTGAGTGTGAATCACATCAGAAGTGTCTAGGACAAGGTGGAGCAGATCTGTACAGTTTTGGGGAAGAGGGAAGAGCGGGGGGCATGAGAGACCCTACTCTAGGATCAAGAACAGGAGCAGAAGGAAAAGCTAGGGACAAGGCCTAAGGAGTCAGCACCTGGGGACAACTGCCACCATCCCTCCCCCATGAGTCCACAAGGGCTAACCTGGCTGAAGGCTCCTAGGGCCCCGAGGGTGCAGGGTTGTGTCAAGGTGAGCCTGGAGTCCACCAGTCCACCCAGGGGTGGCTCCTTCCCTGGGATGCTGTTGTAGTAATTGTGTTCCATGTCCTCTTCATCCCCCCAGGCCGACTCCTCTAGCCCGGTCAGCCTGAGGACAGACAGCAAGCAGGAGCACAGGCAAGGGCCCCAGCACACAGAGCAGAAGGAACAGGGGCACCCAGGGGCCACTAAGGCCTTAGGATTTGAGCTTTGAAGGGTGGGTGGAAAAAGCCAGGCCCAAGGGGACTCTGACCCCACCTCCTATCAGCTGAGCTTTCACCCAGAAAATGTTTCCTGGATGCTGTCTCTCTCTTCCCTCTTCTATAAAATGGGAATTGGCACAGCTTCAGCAGGTCCTCAGGAAAGGTGGTCTCCACTTCTTTCCACCTGCTTCTGGCCTGACCAGGCAGCCAGGACACACCAGACTTACAGCCAGGACATGACACCAGACTTGCACCCAGGATCGGGATGCCTGCCGTGCATTAGGGTAGAACACCCTCGGCACTTAAACCGCTCCTGCCGTCTGGCCCTGTGGTCGCACCTGTTGAAATATATCCCCACAGGTGCTCCTTCAGGTAAGCTTTGTTCCTAAGAGCAAAATGGGGGAGCCCATGGAGGCAGAGGCAGCTCCAGGTGCCCAGCAATAGCAGGTGAAACCCACCATGCATGTGTGACAGATGTGCAAACCCATAAGAAGGCAAAAGGGCCATCTCACCCCAGGGAAGGGCCTCACTCTGCGCTGTGGATTCCTCTTCCTTACCATGTGCTTATTTGAATTTCTAACAATTAATAGATATTAAAGTAGCTGAAAGCAGGGGTCAGCCCAGGAAGTCATAAAACGTAAATAGTTAAGAAAAAAAATCCAAAGAAAAATATTTGGTGACGTGGTGAAAGTTAATGAAATTCAGATTTCGGTGTCTATAAATACGGTTTTGCTGGCACACAGCCCATCCATCGCTTTAGTACCCTCCACAGCTGTTTTTCACAGACAACGGCCAAGACACGGAAAATATTGCCTGTCTGGCCCTTTGCAGAAGCGCCGACTGCCCCATCCACACTGAAGACGGTCATGATGGCAGCGCTGACTGGCTCCTCACCTCAGCCCGGGAGGTAGGAGCTGTTTCTCTCTGGGTTTTATAGCCGAAGGAATGGGGATCCTGGCAGCTGTAAAGAGCGCACAGGAGCACAGCGGGAGGCGAGGGCAGAGTGGACCCAAGCCCAGGAGGAGCAGGTGGGGGCTGGTACCTTTCAGGGGGGATGACCACCTTGGGGGGGCTGTGCAGGTACTGTTTGAAGCGCAGCTCAAAGGCTTGGCCCACCGTGCTGATGACGCTCTGGGCGAGGCCCTCACAGCACTCCAGGATATGGCAGGCTGGGGGGTCATTTATGACACATCAGTGTGGCCTGGCAGCTGACACGGTCTACACGGGGTCCTCCCACCCCACCCACTGGGCCTCACCTCTCTGGTTGATGGGGTCCTTGGCAACATAGGCCACATAATCTGTCATGTCCTGGGGAGAGAGGGGGTGGGTGGGAGGGGCCAGCTGACCTGCCTGGGCCCACTGACCAGGATTCCTGGCCGCCCACCTCCAGCAATGCAGAGGACAGAGGAGACCAAGTCCACCAACCCAGCCCCTTACCGTGTCACCCCCTGATGCGAAGGAGATGGACTGCATGTGGTGGTTGGCGATGATCTGCCAGAGAGACACCCATGGTCACAGGCTGTCCTGAGGTCAGGGACCTGAGGCTTGGGCGGGCACTAGGGAGGGGACTGGGCGGGCAGAGATACACAGACACACAGACACACACAGATACACACTAGATGCCAGGAACATCCCCAGTGGTGACAATTGTGGGGTGCTGTGAGGGCAGGGGCCTCAGTTGGTCTCCAGGTGAACATGTCACATGAAGCCCTTCACCCGCTATCCCTCCAGGCTCCACTTCATGTGAGCCACATGCCTCTCACCTGTTGTGTGGCCCTCACCTGGCGTGTAGCAGGCACAGAGAGGTTGAGGCCATCCGTAGAGATGCTGACGGCGATGCTCATGCCAGCGAAGCGCAGGTTGCTCTTGCCCAGAATGGAGGCCAGTGCCTTGTTGGGGGCCTGAGGGGAGCAAAGAGACAAGGTGGGGGCCTGAGGGAGTAGAGGGCCATAGGGTGGGGGGTTTAAATGTGCATCGCAGAGTCACAGGGTGGGAGGCCCGGTGGGGAGCAGAGGGCAGCACAGGGCTGCAGGGTGGGGTGCCCAGGCTCTGGGTAGGGGCTGCAGAGGGACTCCAGCTGGGCAGGGTCTGAGGGTGGCCATGGCATCCCCACCAGCCCCATCCGGGACCGTGAGCCTCTCACCCACCTTCTTCTTCCAGGAACCCCGGACTCCAGGCACAGCCTCGTGGAGCCGGTTGATGGCCTCCCTGTGGGGGGATGGGGAGGGGGCTTAGAGGGCTTGGAGGAAAGGGGTCTAGGGAGGGACAGGACCTCAGAAGAAAGTGGGAGTGAAAGGGCAATGGGCTGAAAAAGGGGTACAGTAGACCCTAAGATGGGGAGGGGCTCAGAGGAGGGAGGGGACAAGAGGGGGAGGGATGCTGGGGTACCTGAGGAGAAGAGGAAGGGAGGGAGGCATGGAAGTGGGGGACTCGCAAGCATCTGGCAGATACCCTCCTTAGCTGTTTCCTTCTGCAGGTGTCAGATTCAGTGAGGCCAACATAGCCCCTGCACTTAGACCCAACTCCTGTGTGGCCACAGGCATTGAAAGGATGACCTCTGCTAATGGCAGAGCTGATGAGACCAGCTTCCTGGAGCCCTGGTCCCGTACCCCCTTCCACAGCCCAGCCTGGAAGGCTTACCTAGTGACCTGGGTACGAGTGTTGAAGTCCAGGGAGCGCATGGAACGTAGGACCTCAATGCAGCCCATGTACTAAGGGAAGAAAGAACAGGGTGAGTGGGTGGGGCCCACAGAACCAGCAGAGGAGCCCAGATGGGGCTGACAGATGAGCTCTTCACCCTCCGCTCCTGCACCCACTGGGTTCAGTTCCTTCCCTCTGTCCTTGACAATGCCCAGCCTGTAGCCTCAGGTCTTTCACCTACTGTTCCCCTGCTGGCTGCTCATCTATTTTCAAACTGATTCCTCCCTATCTCCAGACTCAGCATCACCTCCTCAGAGCTGGCTTCCCTGACTCTACATAAGTTGTTCCACAGAATCTGGTTGATTCCTCCAGGCTCGTTTAACTGTCTGTTCCTTCTCTTTCTGTTCTGCTAGAATGAAAGCCCAGGAGGACCAGATGGTGGTCAACTTGCCCACTTCCGGGTCAAGCACAGGGCCTGCAAGCAGACAGGTCAGAGATCATCTGGCCCATGAAGCTCAAAGCATTGACTGTCTGTGATCCATTTCAGGAAAAGTGTGTGGACTCCTGCCTACGCCACCATTTCCACAGAATCACCAAGGGACAATGCTGCAAGACAGAGCAGGTGGAAACAGCCAGAGTTCCCAGGCAGCTTCTACTGCTGCCAAGGGCAGGGGCATGAGGACCAGAAGATGTCCATAATCACCCTTCCAAATTCTAGCTGCTGAGTAGGTAACTGGTACAATTGGAAAGCCACATGGCAGTGTCTGTCACATGATCCCATTGGTAAGAAATGTCCAGAACAGGCAAATCCAGAGATAGAGTGAGTTTGTGGTTGCCAGGGGTTGGGAGGGGGGATGCTGAGGGTGACTGTTCATGGAGACAGGGTTTTCCATTGGGGTGATGGAATGTTCTGGAACTAGATAGTGGTGATAGTTGCATAACCTTGTGAATGTACTGCATGCCACCGAACTGTACACTTTAGGATGATTAATGATTAAATTTGTTATGTGAATTTTGCCTCGATTTTTAAGGTAAACTATGGTGATAGAAGCTGGGATAGTGGGAGTGCTGTGGGTGGTACCAGCCAGAAGGGCACCAGGCAGCTATCCAGCTCCGTCTGGGCACTATGCACCTGAGACTTGTTTACACACCATATGTATATTGTACTATGTATGTTGTTCCTCAATTTTAAAGTCTGATCAAGAAATAAGTATATCCCACAGATACTTATTAATTATAAAGGAAACAAATGGTAACTTTACCAGGGACAAATGTCACCTTAACCAATGCGTTGGTTTCCTGGGGCCATGGTAACAGAACACCACAAACTGGACAGCTTAAAACAATAGGGAAATATTCTCTAGTTTTGGAAGCCAGACATCCAAAGTCGAGGTGTTGGCCAGGCCGCACTTCAACTGAAGGCTCCATGGAGGGCCATTCCTTGTCAGTGGTGGTGGCCAGCAATCCTTAGCTTGCAGACACATAAGTCCAGTGTTTGCCTCCATCTTCACATGGACTTCTTCCTCTATGTCTGTGTCCAAGTTTCCCTCTTTATATAAGGACACCTACATGTGATATGTAGGATCCCTAATATAGTATGACCCCATCTCAATCTGATGACATATGCAAAGATCCTATTTCCAAATAAATTCAAATTCTGAGGTTCTAGTGGACATAAATTCTGGGGACACCATTCTCCAAGGACACCAAGTGATCAGTTTCCAGTGCCAGTATTGGACCACACTGGCACCCCAGCCTCCCAATTCCATGCACCGAGGACATACAAGCATGCTCATGTGCTTCCTGCCCCAAATGCACAAGCTGAACCCAAGCGTGAGCAAACACCAGTGAGACACAACCTGAGGGGCAGCGTGCAAGACAACTGGTGTGCACTCTTCAAAAGCTGGAACAACCTAGGCATTTCTCCCGTTGACGCCAGATGATCTTCTCTGTGTCGGTGTCCAAATTTCCTCTTCTTACAAGAACACCTGCCATTGCATTAGAGCCACCCCACTCCAGGATGACCTCATTTTAACTTGATTATATCTACGAAGACCCTGTTTCCAAATAAGGCCACGTTGGCATGAATTTGGGGAGAACACTATTCAACCTGTACCAGAGGAGGGGGATTTTAATAAAGGCAGGAAAGCCCGGCTAGTGTGGTTCAGTGGTTGAGCATCTACCCATGCATCAAGAGGTTGCCAGTTTGATTCCTGGTCAGGGCACATGCCCAGGTTGTGGGCCTGATCTCCAGTGGGGGGCATGCAGGAGGTGGCCAATCAATGTTCTCTCTCATGATGTTTCTATCTCTCCCTCTCCCTTCCTGTCTCTCTAAAATCAATTTTAAAAAATAAATAAATAAACTTCACCTCCTGGAAGGGGAGTGCATATGTATTAAAAAAAGATAAAATCAGGAAAGGCACAAGTAAATGCAAATACATCACTGTGCCAGTGTGGCTCAATGGATTGAGTGTCATCCCATGGACTGAGAGATCTCAGTTCGATTCCTGGTCAGGGCACATGCAGGGGTTTCAGGATCAATCCCCAGTAGGGTGTGAGCAGGAGGCAGACGATCATGTTTCTGTCTCATGTGGATATTTCTATCTCTCTCTCCCTTCCTTTCTCTCTAAAAAATTAATATAAACATAAAAAAGATAATAATACAAACATCAACTTCCAGGATGCTGGTACCCAAAACCAGCAGAGACTTGACTTCCACTCAATGGTCAATGACACTCTGGGATACCTAATAATTTTCATTCATGTACTGATGAACTGTGGGTGTGCAGGAGAACAGCTAGCCTGGGAGACCGTGGGTAAGCATTGAACAGCGAGGGTTATGCACTGGCAGCTTACTTCCTAGTGGTTCACCAGGGATAGATAAATTGCACCTAGAGAACGTAACATTTTAACTGTCATAGGTGCAGGTGCACAGGCGATCCATTCGTCCAGCTTTTCCGTATGTTTGAAAGGTTCATAATAAAAAAAACTCTACACCACATTCGAGGTCTGGTTGGGCGCCGCCCCTTTGCAGATATCCGTTCCCCGAGCCCCCCACTTCAGGCCAAGGTCTCAACAGGTTCCGATTCTGTTGTCTGCGAACGAGTTTTTACTGCGGGTCTGGGTAGCAGGATGCCCCCATCCTGGTCCCCACAGTCCGGACTCTCCGGCCCAACTGGGATGGGGCGGGGGTGAGGGGGAGTGCTCAATCTGCGCATGCGTGTCCCCCACCCACCTGCCGCCCTCTCCCCGCCTCTCACCACGTGACGCCGTGGGAACCCGGACCCCAGCTCCTCCCCACTGGGGGCGCCGAGCGGAGCACAGGCTGGAAATGGGGGTCAGAAGTGATGGGAAGAGAAGGAAAGAGGGAGAGGAGACACCAGGCCCTTAGGGTCCCGAGTGTCCGAGAGAAAGAAGTGGGGGAGGGGAGCCCCAGTCCCCAGGTTGAAGGGTCCGAGCATGGCATCCCTGTGGACCGGGCCAGCGCGCTTACCCGAACGATGTAGGAGACTCCGGGTCCCAGGACCCTGGCGTCTGGGTGTAGCCAGCCGTGCGCGGGCTTGTGGATAAAGCTGCCTTTGCGGATCCACTCGTCGGCGGCGGCGTCTGGGGGCCCAGCCGCCCCCCGCGTGCCCCGAGACCCCCGGGTCCCGGCTGTCCGACAGCGGCTGAGAGCCGGCAGGGGGCAGGGCGCGGCGCAGCGCGGCTCGCAGGCGCCCAGGACCGCAGCCGCCAACGCCGGGACGCTAGTCGGGCCGGCCGGCTCCGACTGAGGATCGGCGCCCCCCGCAGCCCCTGCGCTTCCCGCTGCTCGTGCAGCTGCGGGGCCGCGGCCCAGGAAGCCGGCCGGAGCAGCGAACTTCCACTGCGGCATGCGCGGCAGCAGCGCACAGAAGGTGGTGGGCGCCTCGGGTTCTGGGGGCGCAGGAGGCGCGGGGGGCGCGCGCCCTCCGGGACCCTGCGTCATGGCCGCGGCCGCCGGACCGAGCCCGACCGGGCGCTGAGCCTGACGCGGAGGAGGCCCTCTCTCTCCCTCCCGCTCCCTCCCCGCCCCCGGCCCGGTGATGTCATCCGCCCGGCCCAGCGCGCAGCCGCGGGGGGCTGCGCCCCTGGGACCCCGGCCCTCGGCGTCCCGGCGCCTGGAGGGGCGGATGGGAAAACTAAGGCCTGCCGAGGGCACGACGCTAACCTGGATCGGGCAGCCAGGGAGGGAAATGTTTCCAACCCAAGACCCGGGCATGGATCCCCTACTTCGCCCCCCACCCGTCGACCAACTTCCTAGAAGGGTAGAAGTGGGAGAGACTTAGAAATCACCTCCCTTCCTCCTTTTTTGACTGATGGGGAAACTGAGGCCTGGAGTGGAGTGGAGGCGCGGTCAGAGAGATTCCCAACCCCAAGGTCAGTCCCCTCCATTCCCACTGTTCCAAGCCGAAAGGTACATGAAAATCAGATCCTAGTGGGGAAACAGACCCGGAGAGAGGAAGGGGTATGCCTGAAGGCACACTGCGGAGACTTGGGACCCAGGAATACTGCGTTGGGCTGGCTGGGTCTGGGAGAGGGGAAAGCTCAGAGCCAAGCAAAGTCTCTTCTCTACTGCCTTTCCCTGGGCCTCAGTTTCCCCTAGGCTGTAAGCTAGGAACAAGGGCTGAAGGGTCATAAACTCCTCCATTCCTGGGGAGCCCTTTAGGGCAACATTGCAACTGAGCCCATGGGCCTCAGCCTCCCAGGCGTGCCAGCCCCCCACTCCCACCCCCACCCCCGTCCCAGCCAATCGTCCCCACTCAGGCTTCAAGGGTTGTCACAGCCACCCCAGGACCCAGCTTCCCGGCCTGTTTCGGCCGATCCTCCTCCCCCTCCAGCCCCACCCCAGGCAGGGCTGACTGCTGGGAAACAAAAGGAGGGGGCCGGGGCGCGCGCTGGCAGGTGAGGAAGGAGGGGCGAGGCCGCTTGGAGCAGGATCGATAAATCTGAGAGATGAGATCACAGCCCGGCCGCCGCGATGGGAGATGGGGGGCGGGCGCGGCCGCAATTGGCTGGCAGCCGGTGGGGGTGGAGGGAGCCAGTGATGCTGCCCGAGTGTCACTGTAGTCTCCATTGTGCGTCCACAGGGTCTGGGGTGAATAAGTGCAGAGGGCGTGGCCTTTGGGTCTGTGTGAGGGTAAGGCTTGTGGGGTTGGGAGCCCCCATCTGGACTTGTGTGTGCTGTGTCTATTGTGGTTTACATACATGTGGACTGTGTGAGGGTCAGGTTGTGTGTACTGTATATCGTGTGCCAATGTGAACATGTGTGTGTGGAGGGGTTCTAGGTTTCCCTCAGGTATATGATTAGGGGGTCCATGTGCATTTCAAGGTGGGTGTACAGGGTCCTGGTGTGTGTCTAGGTGTGTGTAGAGATACTATTGTGTGTTCAAGGGTTGTGTTCAATTTGGGCACCCCCAGGCTGGGGAAAGGGACAGAGTTAGGAGAGAGCTAATAATCACCATGGGGCCATCTCCTCCAGGGAAATGCAGTGACAGACTGTCTGTTCCTCCCAAGTTCCTGAGTTGGGGGTCTTTCTGGGTCAGAGTTTTTAAGGTCTGGACCCAGGTGTCATCACACAGAGGGTTTGATCATATGACACCGTTCATATCTTTCCTTCCCGTCCTTAGGAAAGAATGGCAGGAATAGAGCCCACTGGCCAGAATTCAAATCCTAACATCAGACAAACACTAGGGCTTATACTGTGCCCTTAGACAAGTATCCAATCTCTGAAGCCTGATTTCCTATCAATAAACATCACCTAATTCCTGAGTTGCTGAGAAGTTTAAATGATCTTTATCAACATCTGGAACATTGTAGGGTACCTGCTGATGAATATTAGACTATATCAAACTCCTATACATCCTTCAAAACCCAGATTCAATGTCCCCTGATCAAAGAAGCCTACCTGGGTCCCTCCATTCAAAGCTCTGGCTCCACCTCTGGGTACCCCCAGCTCTGGATTCTTCCTCTGGTCTCATCTAAACCCCAAGGGGCTACAAGAGTTGGGGGTCTGGATGTTGAGAGCAATATTTCAGATCCTCTGTGATGTAAACAGACCCTGGGTTAAATGAACATGCGCGTGTGCACTACTGACAGCTCTTGGTGCTACAGAGATTTATTGGCAAGCAGCTAGAGGGTGGGGTGGGGAGGGGAGGGCACCAGGACTGCTTCCAGCCTGATTTTGGGCTGGGACCAGGTCAGGAAGCTGTGCTTCCATGAGAAACAGGTTAGAGCCCAAGTTTGGCAGAAACCTGAGCTGTGTTGGGGACCCAGGCCCTAGCAGTGCGGACACCAAGTTCTAGGACACAGGAAACTCCGTCTCCAGCCAGCCACTGGGGAGGGCCAGGAGTGTCCTTTTCTCAGCCTGGCCTTGCTTGGCCTGGCATGACCAGGAGAGAAGAAACTGGGGCGCTGGAAGAAGGCTCAACCTGCAGAGGGCCATGGGGTCACAGGCCCCAGGGACTAGAGGAAGCAGGTGGCCTAGAAGGACCTCAGTTCAGAAAAGTGGAAGAAAGGAGGTTCTTCCCCCTCCCCCAGTTTCTCTGAGCCGTTCCACCCCAGCCAAAGCCAGGCCCAGGAGGGGCCCGCCCATACCCCACTTCAGGGTGCAGAAAAAGTGAGGTTTAGCCCAGGTGTTGGCCTGCATTTTGTCCCCCAAAGGTGGCAGGGTGTTGTGTCCGCGGCCATGTTGGTGGCCCGTTTGGAGTGTCGGATGCCCATGGTGAAGGCCGGGGCCCTGGCTTTGGTCACAGTGACCCGCTCAGGACTATGGGTGCCAGGGCCAGGCGTCTCATCAGGGCAGCGTGGGGCACGGGGCCGCCCCAGCATGGTGAAGGCGGGCCAGCGCTGACGGTAGGCATTGGGGTCTGGGCTATCATACTGGCCTGGGCCTGGTATCTCAGTGGGGTCCTGGGGGGGGCGGGGAGGAGGTGTGCGACCTACTACCGTGTAGCTGGGGCTACTGGGCTTGATGAAGATCTGAGCACCCCAGAGAGAGGGCAGGGTATAGGCATTGGGGGCGGGGGCTGAGGTGTCCAGAGGCTGTGGACGCAGGCGGGAGCCCAGGGTGAAAGCCGGAGGGGTCCGCTGGCGCACAGGGGCCACCTTCTCTGGGCTATAGGCCCCGGGGCCAGGTGTCACCTCCAGACCTGTGAGAATGGGGCAGGAAGTTTGGCAATGGACAGAGTGCTCAGCTGATCAAAGACCTTGTATGGCTCCCCATTGCCCACATGCACCCCAGAGCTCACAGCATTTCTGAAGAAGCCCTGAGTTGTTCCCCCCCTTCCCTACCTTGCCACACAGTCTGTTCTCTTTCAGGCCTCCATGCTTTTGCCCAAGCTCAACCCTCTGCCAGGCAAGCCTTCTGTTTCCCATTCTCACCTCCCAGGAGCTGCTTCTCATCCTTCCAGACAGCTCCAGAGTCCCTCCTCCCGGCTGCCTTCCCTACAGCCCTTCTAGGGGTCCCCTGGCCTGGTTCTTCCCCTCTCTCCGGACGTGGCCACACTGAAGTGGGATGGTCCCCATCCACTAACTCCACCATTCTGAGGTCTCATAAAAAGCAAAGACATGTCAAATCTACTTCAGCTCCCAGAAGTTGGCCTAATACATGTTTGGGAGGGTGAGTGAGAAGAGGACTGGTGGTGAGTGTTGAGTGAGAAGTGAACGAGTAGATTACTGGATCCATAGGTGTGTAGATAGTGGATCCTGGATAGATGGACCAATGGATAGATGGATGGATCAGTGGATGGATAAATGGATGAATGGGTGGATATGAACAGGTGGATGGACAAGTAGATTGATGAGTAGATAGATGGGCAGGTGGATGGATGAATCAGTGGGTGAATGAGTCGATGGGTGGTAGGTGGAAAGATGAAAGGGTGGGTGGATAGGAGACTGGAGTCAAGTGATTCAGTCGAGCGCTTTAGGTGAAAGTAAGCTGTCCGCAGCCTGTGAAGGGGGTTTCCACATTTGCCACAGTCCCTTCAGCACCCTGCTGTCTCTTGATGCTGAGGAGGAGCCCCAGCTGCCCTCGTGGCACCACGTGTGCACAGGGTCACCATCACCCTGGCCCACTTCACTCACTCAGGCTCTCTTAGGGCCCCCGGCTCCTCTTCTGAGGTCTTGGATTTTATCATTCCAAAGACACTGAAGGTCTAAGAACTTGGGGGTAGGAAGGGAAGAAGAGGGCCAGAGGCATGGGAGTCACTGAGACCCTGAAGGGACAGAGTCCTCACGGGGTAGCACAGGTCAGATACTCACCCCGAGTCTTGCCCCGGCCCTGCATGGAGTAGGCAGGGGTGCAGCTTCGGCCAAACCGGGTGACTTTTGGGTCCAGGAAGTAGACTGGCCCGGGACTGGTGTCCTGTGGAGATGCTGGGGAGAGAAGCCTGAGGTCCTGAGTGCACCTCTGATGGCCTCCCTGCCCTCAGTGCTCCTGCTGAGCCCCGAGGTCTGCCACCCTCCAGACACCTGCAGCCCCCGTCTTGGAGAGCAGGGACCTCAGTCTACTGAGGTCTGATTGCCCTGACCAGGAACCTGGATCTCTGCTTTGAATTTGTCTTGATGAGTGTTTCTATGCCCTCCTGATCAACACTGTCCCACCCCTCAACCTCTTCTCTGCCAAGCTAGGGGACCAGAGAAACCAGCTCCTGGGTTGATTAGAATTGTACATAAAATGAGAGTAACTAGGCTCTAAGAGTCCGAGGAGGTTACTTGTAGTGCCTAGGCTCCTTGGCATGTGACAAGCTTAAGGGAGAGGTTCTAAGTCACATTTCAGTACCAGCAAGGCCTCTGTGAGCTGTGTCCTTGGGCCTGTCAAAGCCTCCTTTTCCTCAGTAGTAGATGGGAAGCTTGAAAAGTGAGACCATCGCCCTGGCTGGTTTGTCTCAGCAGCTAGAGCATCAGCCTGCAGTCCAGAGAGACCCACGTTCGGTCCCTGCTAAGGGC